TTGTATTTGAAAACAAGTACTTCAAAAGGTTTAAAACATTAATCTCCATCGGACCTATTTGTTGCTAATGCAGTTGTCCCACTACATCCGCAATCCATTCAATTCAGCCTTAATTATCTTACTGATAGCTGGTGATATCCACCCTAACCCGGGGTCCAATTCTAATAATAGCTCGGCTCCCAGTGTCCTTAGTCCCAAATTAAATTTCAAAATACATTATATCTAATTTGTAACCTATATAAACCCCCCTTTTATAATAATGATAGTTTATGGCAGCATCTGAGACACTCGCTTGATATTGCATTTGAAGAAACGAGCAATATAATAATCACAGGAGATTTAAATGTTGATTTTCTAAAAACTGTTGGAGGCGATCTATCTAATATTATGTCTAACTATAATTTGACCAATATAATAACTGAACCAACTAGACAAACCGATACCTCCTCAATACTTGTTGACCCTATTATTGTTAGTGATACTGTTAATGTGTGTTTTTCTGATGTTATTGAAATTGAGCGAACTATTAGCGATCATGATGCTGTTTCTGCAATTGTGAATATTCATGCTAAAATTAAACATTGTTTTAAAAGAAAGATGTGGTTATACGACCAAGCTGATGTCAACAAACTTAAAGACACGATAAATAGTATCCCTTGGTTAGCCAATCTTGCCAACTTATTAAATGTTAATGAAATGTGCAATTTCTTTACCGGGAAATTTGTTGATGCCGTTGTCAAATGTATACTATCAAAAGTAATATTAGTACGCGATAGTGATAAACCGTGGATGAATGGATTGTTAAGACGTAATATTAGGAAAAGAGATGGACTTAAAAAAATAATGTTTAACAATAACAGTGAGCAACAAAAACAAGTACAAATACATGAGAAATAAAGTAAATAATAGGATTAAGAGAGCTAAAGAAATATATATGTTTAACAATAACAGTGAGCAACAAAAACAAGTACAAATACATGAGAAATAAAGTAAATAATAGGATTAAGAGAGCTAAAGAAATATATATGTTTAACAATAACAGTGAGCAACAAAAACAAGTACAAATACATGAGAAATAAAGTAAATAATAGGATTAAGAGAGCTAAAGAAATATATATGTTTAACAATAACAGTGAGCAACAAAAACAAGTACAAATACATGAGAAATAAAGTAAATAATAGGATTAAGAGAGCTAAAGAAATATATATGTTTAACAATAACAGTGAGCAACAAAAACAAGTACAAATACATGAGAAATAAAGTAAATAATAGGATTAAGAGAGCTAAAGAAATATATATGTTTAACAATAACAGTGAGCAACAAAAACAAGTACAAATACATGAGAAATAAAGTAAATAATAGGATTAAGAGAGCTAAAGAAATATTTTTGATAGCATAAATACAGTAATTGATAAAAGTAACAACAATCCTAAGATTTATTGGAAACTTCTCCGAAATATTCTTAAAGCTAAACAAAACACCGAAATATCCCCGTTATTAGACGGTACTACAAATGAAATAATTTATGACCACGATAGAAAATGTGAACTCTTAAATAACTACTTTAGTTCGGTGTGTTCGTTATCAGAAATTGATACAAATAAAGAATTGCCTTTTTTTGAGAGGAGGACTGACTCCATCTTATCAGAAATAAATATAATTCCCAGTGAAGTTGAAGATAATATAAAAATTCTAGATGTAAATAAGGCATCAGGTCCTGACGGTATTAGCCATAACATGCTCAAATTATTATCTAGCGAGATTTCTGTACCGCTATCCATTATTTTTAATTATTCTCGGTCTTCTTGTTCATATCCTGATAACTGGAAAATCGCTCATGTCATGCCTATCTATAAAGCGAATGATGCTAGTATTACCACATCAACTTATTGAGCTATATCATTCAATAGTTACCTCTTTAGACAATTAAGAACATTCTCTATTAATATTTTGTGATTTTTCAAAAGCTTTTGACCGCGTCTGGCACAGAGGTCTAATCATAAATTGAATAATTATGGCATTTCTGGCCCTCTTCTTCTGTGGATAACTAGTTATCTTTCAAACAGACAACAGGCGGTTTTTATCAATGATTCTCTTTCTTCCTTTAAGGCCATAAAAGCTGGTGTTCCTCAAGGTTCTGTTCTTGGTCCTCTTTTCTTCCTTATATACATAAATGATATTTCCTGTGATCTTTCCTCTCTCTGTAGACTTTTTGCTGATGATACCGCTCTTTCTTATTCGTCCCAAGACTTAAACAAAATTTCATCCAATGCAAAATCTGATCTGAGAAAACTTGAAGTTTGGTCCAAAGAATGGCTGATGTCTTTTAACCCTACCAAAACTGAGGCCCTAGTCATCTCAAATCGGAAACTTCCATTCATCCCTGCATTCACATTTAATAACACCCCCATTCGAATAACTAACCAACATAAGCACTTAGGTGTTGTTCTTACTAACGACTGTAAATGGAATGTTCATGTTGAATATATTGTCAGTAAAGTAACCAAATACATAGCAACCCTTCGTAAACTAAAACTTACTATAAAAAAGAAATAAATTAGAAAAACTATATCTTACTTATGTTCGACCACTACTGGAATATGCATGTGAAGTATGGGACAACTGCGGTGAAACAAATGCCATGTTACTAGAAAAAATCCATCTAGAAGCTGCAAGAATAGTCACAGGGCTGCCCACATTCACTAAAAAAGATTTCTTGTATCAAGAAACCGGATGGTTACCCCTTTCGAAACGAAGAGATGCTCGGAAACTTTCCTTGTTTTATTCTATAGTAAATAACATGGCACCTAAATTTCTTACTGACTTATTACCAATGTATATTGGAAATATAGCTCCGTATAATTTGCGAAATGCACATTTACAGCGGGAATAGCACATCCGTTTACAACTATCAAAACATTCTTTCTTTCCTTCCACATTAAAATTCAGGAACAACTTGAACAACACTGTAAGAAACTCACCCTCACTAAATTCTTTCAAGTCTAAAGTAATAAAGTCTATGATAGTAAATAATTTGTTTAGCAAGCATTTCGTAAACTATGGACAGAGAAAATTAAATATACTCCTTTGTCGTCTTAGAAATCGAGCTAGCTCATTAAATTATGATCTTTTCAGAGCAAATCTAGTCGGTTCAGCTGATTGCGGGTGTGGGCATCACTATGAAGATTGTTATCATTTTTTCATTATTTGTCCTTTGGATTCTAATTTACCAAGAACACTCATTACCGAATTAGAATGGTACGAAGGCGACATAAACGTAGATATTCTTTGTAAAGGTGACCCCAACATCTCACCAAATGATAATATGAAACTAGCCAAGGCTGCACAGCATTTCCTGGGAGGATCGGGTAGATTTGACTAACTACCAACCCCACTCCTCTCTATCCAACCTCCAACCCCAGTCNTCTCTCTCTCTCTCTCTCTCTCTCTCTCTATGAATCCAATTCATTAATAACATATTTATTTTCTTACCATCATGTGACAATTGTGTATTATTATATTTGTCTGTATTACGGGAGAAGTCAATTGATAAGTTGGAAAAACTTACCGACTAATCCCTTTGTCAATTTGTTGTGAATAAAATATATTTAAACTAAAGTGGTGACGTAATGTTCCGGTTGTAAATCTCTTTTGAATAAACGGTATGTTCGTAATTTATTGCCGTTAATGTTACATGTATCACACCAAAGAATGGAGAACCACGTCTCTTCATCTTCATTTGGTTTTTGACATAACAGATTTAGTTGAATTTAGAGCGCCATTAATAATATTGGTGATACCAAACTTACTTGCTAATTTTTTAGCTTACAACACACCCTCAAAACTTCAATTCGTTGTTTGGATACACAAGACATCCAACCCATATAGCCGTTTTTTTACCTAGATTGGAAGAATTTCTTCCAACACCTAGAAATAACTTCATTGTACATTGTTTATTATGCGGTGTTCGGATTGCCCCTAAATGGCACTACAGTAAAATAATTACTTCAAATTTGGTAACTAAAACACAAGACATTATAACATCTCTTAAACGCTTAAGATATTGTTGTTTGAAATTTGAAATTGTAATTTTAAAGCTTTTAACCCACGGTGACCTTTGATTCCGGCTAGCACTTAAAGTTGACCTTTGACCTCATTACTGTAGAAAAAGATTTGCACTGCTGGTCTACATAACATATTCAACTATCATGACTCTAGTCCAAATAATTCTTAGGATATTTTTGTTTGAAGTATTTAACATATTTGAGCCCTGTGACATTGAAAGTAGGTCAAGGTCATTTTAACGAGGAAACTTTATAGCACTCTATCCCGGGTACCTACTGGCCAAATGTCATGACCCTAGGTCCTCCAGTTCTTCAGAAGAAGTCGTTCAAAAGAAAAAGTCGAGGGATGGACGAAGGACGACTGACGACAAACAGACGACGGACTCCGCAGTGCAGCATAAGCTCAGATGGCCCTTTGATTTTAAACTGATTTGCTGTTTATTGGAAATAATCAAGTGTATGAGCCTGACAAAATTGTTATTTCGAAGCTGATTTGAAACATCAGTTTACTGGCCATTTTAGCTCCCTTGTATATATTTTGAAATTGAATTCAAAGCCAACAGCAGATTATGCTGAAACTACCTAGGGTAGGTGGACAAGATAAGTACAATATTGCTACTCTATTTAGTTCAGAATCTACAGAAAGTGATTAAGCTGAACCTTACTAGAAATGATGGTTCCTACCCAGTAGTGCTATTTTCGGTTTGCTCACCTGTTCATTCCTTTGCCATCTGATTATGCCATAAGAACTCATTTGAGTGTTAAGGACGCCCTTAGGGCAGGTGAGTTAAACAAGAGGCCCATGGGCCTTAACAGTCACCTGAGTCCTACAGTATTTATTTTTGTTGTTGAAATATGAAGTGGAGATAATGATGTCAATCATCCCTAAATCATATTAATTTGCGAAATTCATAAAAGACATGAGACAAGTGAATATCATTGCAATATTTTATTCTTTTCCATTTACAATTACAAATGAAATACAATCCCTCATTTTAGGACTAACTCTAAGTGTACCTATATCCCTCTGTATCAACAAAGTTTGTTTACTTTCAAAGTTGTTGTCAAATGCTTCTTTACTGACAGAACCGTTAATTATAGCTGATAAAGATTTACTTTGGAATCATTAACTGAATCTTCAAATATTTTCTATAAATTCCATTTTTTTTCTATATCCAGATAAATCAATTACTGTTCTTGAAGTTTAATTTTTAAGATAATAGTAAAGATAAAAAAAATCATATATAATTAATGCATTATCCTATGACCCATAATAAACAATTATGATTGTTTTATCAGAATAAGAAGAGATGTCAAAAAAAATATATTCTTAAGTACTTAAAGTACTTTTCTAAACAGATTCATTCAATTATATTCACATATTAATTACTAATGAGGTAAAAATAGCAAACCTCTGTGACACGAACTGTACGATTTGCAGTACATGCTAAGAGTACTGTAACATTGTACTGTACACCTTTGTACATAGAAAGAAGATATAACAGAACACAGGCTTTAGAGAACAAATCACCCGATTACATGATTAACTATACCCTACTTTAACTCTGTTAACCCCTGGTAGCTAGCCCCTAGGAAGGAGTTAACCCTTGGTAGCTAGCCCCTAGGAAGGAGTTTACCCCTGGTAGCTAGCCCCCTAGGAAGGAGTTAACCCCTGGTAGCTAGCCCCTAGGAAGGAGTAAACCCCTGGTAGCTAGCCCCTAGGAAGGAGTTAACCCCTGGTAGCTAGCCCCCTAGTCAGTACACATATCAAATCACCAGTCTGTGTATGACCTTGAAGTCAGTACATCATATCAAATCACCAGTCTGTTATTTTTGTTTCTGGAAGCAATTCAGAAACTCTAAATTTCTTGCCACACTTAACAATCAACAGTTCTGAATGACAATGAATTTGTGATGTTTTACAATTTGCAGATTTGTTCAGACTACATGTAAAGTAAAATGAAACCTCCCAAATTATAAGTAATACGGTACACAGAAAAGGGAGGCTTAATACCCATTGAGAATAACACGGGTAAAGTAGGGTAGATTTAACACCAGTATTACACACTACTGTATATACATTTACACACACTTCATCACATCTCAGACCTAAAGACAAACTTCAAAACATATAACAAAATGTTGTGCATGGGCACAAATTGTAAATTTCCAATGAATCCATGGTTTAAATAAAGGTGTATTAACAAAAAAATAACATTCCTGATAAATCTCACAACTCATTCATTAATTGTCAACATAATTTACATTTTTAATTATAAAAGTATATCAATCAGTTGTTAAAAGCAGTAGGGTTAATAATTAATTGAGACCTATAGACAGTTTTACAAATCAATAATCATTAGTTCAATTTCCTAAATCTAAAATATATTCTGTTACATTAAATGACCATTTTGTATTGAAGCCAACTTTTAGTAATACCACATATAAATGTTGTAATTGACTGTACTGTTTTGTTATACAATAACGTATTTTTTTTTTTTTTATTAAAGCTGTGCATTCCAACAAGAACAAGGAAAACTATGTGGAAGTGTAACTCAGGAATACAAATCTTCATCACATCACTGTTGATTGATAGCTTATTGAAATAAATACATATAATACTCACTGTACACAAATCTTGGTTATACTGGCAATACATAAGTACATATAGATACTGAAGCAGTTCAACTTTCATCCTAGTGTTCCTGTGATAAACCCACCAATCTCGTTCTCCACATAATAATGGCCATCAGCGTTGTATCGAGAAATATTTTTTATTTTTTTGTGTCTATTGATGATATGTGATTTTATTTTGTAATTTCAATATTATTGAAAAGATGCCATATGAATGGGTTTGATCACAATTTGAACAAGTGCCCAGACTTATTCCTAAATCTGACAGTGCAGAACAATTCTTCCTAACATGATCCTCATTGGGCTGAACAAAAGGATTGGTGCCACAGTGTAAACTATGTATAGTCAGTAAATCTCTTTATAACCTTTAACATGACTTTCACCTTCAATACATTAAAAAAACTGAATCAGTATGAGATTCACATATATATACATCCCAAAATTTTTTTTAGTATCAAAACTTAATAAACAAAATAGATATCTGAGGTGTAGATTTTAAATACTGGGTATGTCAGATTCTTTGGAAAAGTTATACAAAACACAAATAATAACTTAACAGATTGTTAATAAAACAAAACACAAATAATGACTTCACATAGTGTTAATAATCAAACTGCACATATGTTCTTATAAAGGTAATCAATATTACTAATGGTGACACATATGTCAGATTATCAGTACATGACACTTTCCAGCATCAGTGAATTACTTTAACAAGACAATACATAAAACACCTGTATCATTACTAGGCAATCACCATAGCAAACCACCGGTCTGTGTATGACCTTGACGTTAGTACATTAAAGCAAAACACCGGTCTGTGCATGACCTTGACGTCAGTACATCATGGCAAAACACCAGACTGTGTATGAAATTGACGTCAGTACATCATAGCAAATCACCGGTCTGTGTATGACCTTGACGTCAGTACATCATAGCAAAACACCGGTCTGTGTATGACCTTGAAGTCAGTACATCATATCATATTACCAGTCTGTGTATGACCTTGAAGTCAGTACATCATAGCATATTACCAGTCTGTGTGTGACCTTGAAGTCAGTACACCATACCATATTACCAGTCTGTGTATGACCTTGAAGTCAGTACACCATAGCAAATGACTGGTCTGTGTATGACCTTGAAGTCAGTACACCATACCAAATCACTGGTCTGTGTATGACCTTGAAGTCAGTACATTATACCAAATTACCAGCCTGTGTATGACCTTAAAGTCAGTACACCATACCAAACCACTGGTCTGTGTATGACCTTGAAGTCAGTACTGAAATCAGTACATGGTTCATCATAAATGTAGTCTAGAAGGTAAAATATATAAATAAAATTTTGTGTGTTTTATTTGTTTAATTTAACTTTAAAAGAATCTTAAGTAGGAAAAATACCAGGTTAACACAAGATAATTAACAGAGCAGAACTCAACAACAGAAGTTAAACAATAGTGTAAAAATAGATGTATAAGAAGATGGAAAATTGTTATCAATAGAATTATAAGGTTGGACAAAAATAACATAAAAATATCTGTTACATTTATACATACCGGGTAAAAAAATCAGATGATTATATATACATATATCAAGTAAAAACCTATATACACACGAGGTAAAACAAAATTGATACACACAGGTATATGTGAAGAGGACAACAAAATGGACGATAGTTTTACGGTCATACCATATAGTTTAGTTAGCTTGTCATAACTGGTTCATTGAACACATCCCAATATTGAGCTGATTTCAAAAACAACTTGAACTTTGAATTTGATTTGAACTATACAATGCATGATAATGTCCCCATACTGAGCTCAATCAGGTCAAACAGGTATGAAAGCCTTGCCTCTGGTAGGCATCCTGTAGAAATTGTACCCGAGTCCTATCATTATTGTCATCAATGAGACTGGAGGCAGGACCATAACACTTTAGGAAAAACAGAAATATAATCTTCTTATTAATGTCTCTTGATATTAGCTTGAACATATTTTTTGTGTTATAGACTAGAATATAAAATGATCCTTGATTGTTGTGTTAGAACTAACATGAAGGTGACCTATCTTTTTACACAGAGGTGATGATTACAACCTATTGTCTAATCCTAGACAGAAAACTGTCATAAACCTGTGTTCAGGTATAAAACAGTAAGTCTAATACCTGTGTTCAGGTATATCAATCTGAAAATTTCTGACTAAAAAATGCCCACTTAACTGATGTTGATAATGTAAAAAATAACATTTTGACTGAACTGACCACTCAACAGAAGTTTATCAAGCCACAAAGCTTTATGATATGTAGACAGGAAACTTGATACCATTATTCTATATTTAAGACAAAATTGTCATCTTATAAAAAAAAACAGTATCAGCGTATGTATCATTGATTAAATCAAAACCACAGGTGTATGCAGGATTTTACATGACAATTAAACAAAGCATGATATATAAGTTAATAATTTCAACTAAAAAGATAAAGTAGAGTCACTCATGTTCATGGTCCCACGGGATGTGTCCTATCATACAGAAAAGACACACATCTACAAAATGTTTGTATATCACTCATACACAAAGGGGTGTTCTCAAAGGTCACAAGTTGTTTATAAGTTTCCAGAAATATCACACAAGGATCATCTCAAAACTGAATTATACTGCCTACAATCCAAACTGCATAGTTAAACAAATCTACACTGGGATACACCCACATCAATACAACTGGTCCACTGGTTTTCCATGGTGGATGATAAAATGAAAACAACGTCGCAGCATACATCCTCCTCCTAGGAGCTTTGTGAGGTGTAGGTCTTCAGCAATGCACGAGGTTGGTCCACCTAAAGGAAACAAAAACTTATCATCATACAAATGTATCAACCATTGTATAATGGGCACATAGTGTGACAATGAAGTTAGTGGGGGCTTGATAGTGGGACAACCTGGTTAGTGGGGGCTTGATAGTGGGACAACCTGGTTAGTGGGGGCTTGATAGTGGGAAAACCTGGTTAGTGGGGGTGGGGGGGGCTTGATAGTGGGTAAACATGGTAAGTGGGGGCTTGATAGTGGGACAACCTGCTTGATAGTGGGTAAACATGGTTAGTGGTGACTGGGTAGTGGGACAACCAGATAAGTGGTGACTAGATAGTGGCACAAACAGATTAGTGGTGACCTGATAGTGGCACAAACAGATTAGTGGTGACCTGATAGTGGGACAACCAGATAAGTGGTGACTGGGTAGTGGGACAACCAGATAAGTGGTGACTGGATAGTGGGACAACCTGATTAGTGGTGACTGGATAGTGGGACAACCAGATAAGTGGTGACTGGGTAGTGGAACAACCAGATAAGTGGTGACTGGGTAGTGGGACAGCCAGATAAGTGGTGACTGGGTAGTGGGACAACCAGATAAGTGGTGACTGGATAGTGGGACAACCTGATTAGTGGTGACTGGATAGTGGGACAACCAGATAAGTGGTGACTGGGTAGTGGAACAACCAGATAAGTGGTGACTGGGTAGTGGGACAGCCAGATAAGTGGTGACTGGGTAGTGGGACAACCAGATTAGTGGTGACTGGGTAGTGGGACTAACAGGTAGTGGAACAACCAGATAAGTGGTGACTGGGGAGTGGGACAACCAGATAAGCGGTGACTGGGTAGTGGAACAACCAGATAAGTGGTGACTGGGGAGTGGGACAACCAGATAAGCGGTGACTGGGTAGTGGAACAACCAGATAAGTGGTGACTGGGTACTGGGACAGCCAGATAAGTGGTGACTGGGCAGTGGGACAACCATATAAGTGGTGACTGGAACGTGGGACAACCTGATTAGTGGTGACTGGATAGTGGGACAACCTGATTAGTGGGGACTGGATAGTGGGACAACCAGATAAGTGGTGACTGGGTAGTGGGACAAACAGATTAGTGGTGACTGGATAGTGGGACAAACTGATAAGTGGTGACTGGGTAGTTGGACAGCCAGATTAGTGATGACCTGATAGTGGGACAACCAGATAAGTGGTGACTGGGTAGTGGGACAACCAGATTAGTGGTGACTGGATAGTGGGACAAACAGATTAGTGGTGACTGGATAGTGGGACAAACAGATTAGTGGTGACTGGGTAGTGGGACAGCCAGATAAGTGGTGACTGGGTAGTGGGACAACCAGATTAGTGGTGACTGGATAGTGGGACAAACAGATTAGTGGTGACTGGGTAGTGGGACAGCCAGATAAGTGGTGACTGGGTAGTGGGACAACCAGATAAGTGGTGACTGGATAGTGGCACAAACAGATTAGTGGTGACCTGATAGTGGCACAAACAGATTAGTGGTGACCTGATAGTGGGACAAACAGATTAGTGGTGACTGGATTGCGGGACAACTAGATAAGGGGTGACTGGGTAGTGGGACAACCTGATAAGTGGTGACTGGGTAGTGGGACAACCAGATAAGTGGTGACTTGATATTGGGACAACCAGATAAGTGGTGACTGGATAGTGGGACAACCTGATTAGTGGTGACTGGATAGTGGGACAACCAGATAAGTGGTGACTGGATAGTGGGACAAACAGATTAGTGGTGACTGGGTAGTGGGACAAACAGATTAGTGGTGACTGGATTGCGGGACAACTAGATAAGGGGTGACTGGGTAGTGGGACAACCTGATAAGTGGTGACTGGGTAGTGGGACAGCCAGATTATTGATAACTGGATAGTGGGACAAACAGATAAGTGGTGACTGGATAGTGAGACAAACTGATTAGTTGTGACTGGATTGCGGGACAAACAGATTAGTGGTGACTGGGTAGTGGGACAAACAGATTAGTGGTGACTCAATAGTGGGACAGCCAGATTAGTGATGACCTGATAGTGGGACAACCTAATTTGGGGTGACTGGATTGCGGGACAACTAGATAAGGGGTGACTGGGTAGTGGGACTAACAGATTAGTGGTGACTGGGTAGTGGGACTACCAGATTAGTGGTGACTGGATAGTGGGAAAAACTGATTAGTGGTGACTGGATAGGGGGACAACTAGATAAGTGGTGACTGGGTAGCGGGACAACCAGATAAGTGGTGACTGGATAGTGGGACAACCACATTAGTGGTGACTGGGTAGTGGGATTAACTGATTAGTGGTGACTGGATAGTGGGACAGCCAGATTAGTGATGCCCTGATAGTGGGACAACCTAATTTGGGGGGACTGGATTGCGGGACAACTAGATTAGTGGTGACTGGGTAGTTGACTGGATAGTGGGACAACCTGATTAGTGGTGACTGGATAGTGGGAAAAACTGATTAGTGGTGACTGGATAGTGGGAAAAACTGATTAGTGGTGACTGGATAGTGGGGCAACCTGATTAGTGGTGACTGGATAGTGGGAAAAACAGATTAGTGGTGACTGGGTAGGGGGACTAACAGATTAGTGGTGACTTGATAGTGGGACAAACTGATTAGTGGGGACTGGATTGCGGGACAACTAGATTAGTGGTGACTGGATAGTGGGGCAACCTGATTAGTGGTGACTGGATAGTGGGACAAACTGATTAGTGGTGACTGGATTGGGGGATAACTAGATAAGTGGTGACTGGGTAGTGGGACAACCAGATAAGTGGTGACTGGATTGGGGGACAACTAGATAAGTGGTGACTGGATAGTGGGACAAACTGATAAGTGGTGACTGGATTGAGGGATAACTAGATAAGTGGTGACTGGGTAGTGGGACAACCAGCTTAGTGGTGACTGGATAGAGGGACAAACTGATTAGTGGTGACTGGGTAGTGGGACAACCGGCTTAGTGGTGACTGGATAGAGGGACAAACTGATTAGTGGTGACTGGATTGAGGGAAAACTAGATAAGTGGTGACGGGGTAGGGGGACAACCAGCTTAGTGGTGACGGGATAGTGAGACAACCAGATTAGGGGTGACTGGATAGTGGGACAACCTGATTAGTGGTGACTGGGTAGTGGAACTAACAGATTAGTGGTGACTGGGTAGTGGGACAACCAGCTTAGTGGTGACTGGATAGTGAGACAACCAGATTAGTGGTGACTGGATAGTGGGACAAACTGATTAGTGGTGACTGGATTGCGGGACAACTAGATTAGTGGTGACTGGGTAGTTGGACAGCCAGCTTAGTGGTGACTGGATAGTGAGACAACCAGATTAGTGGTGACCTGATTGTGGGACAACCTGATTAGTGGTGACTGGATTGCGGGACAACCTTTTATTGTTGGTTACCAGGACAACAGTGGAGGGCTTATAGAGGTCAGAAAATGGTCAATAGATATGGTTCACAAGAACGTTTATTCTTGTGATGAATCAACTATGAATTGCAAAGTAAAAAAATGTTTACTTGGTTTAAGTAAAACGTGACAAACTAATATCAGATGTTATATCGTGTCACACAGGCAGCAATTAACCAATCAGATTTTACGGGTAAATGAATATGCATGTATCACAATAATTATGTTTTTATTAAACTTGGTTATAATTAAACCATTTTCAGAGCAGTAAATAAATGAATTGAAAGCAATTAATCATTCAGAATTGAGCAGGCTAATTTACTTTGCAAAATTTACACACAGACAATGTTAGCGCTGGAACAAAGCTTGAGACTTGCTGTTTGTGAACAAAGCTTGAGACTTGCTGTTTGTGAACAAAGCTGGAGACTTGCTGTTTTGTATGTGCATACATTTGAATGAAAATGAACCTTTGTTAGAACAGTTATAGCAGGGATAATAGTTAGCCAATCAGAAGCAGGTAGCCCCTTAACTATTCGTAGATATGTATACATCAATTTGGCATTTAACTTAGCAACAGACTTGTCAATCCATAATCAAACAGATGGTTACATACAAATAACAAATATCCTCTCATTTTTCCTGAAATCTGTGAGGATTATTAAAACTGAAATACCTGGTACTTATCCTTGTACTTTCAATAATCGCACATAGATAAAACTAAACAGGATAATCTGCTTTGTGATTAAGCTATGAAGTTTGAACTGTTTCTACTCACATTTAGCCTCTACCTAACATTGTGTCTCCAGTAAAATATGATATTATGTCAGAAAAGGATTTCTTTTTATTATGAAATCAATATCATCTGGACCATGTCTATTTGATGGATTATCAGAACACTTGTGGATTGACCCTTCCGACAACTAGATCCCCATGTTGTAATGACGACAAGAAACAACAGGATAACACCTGGAAATCAATGTTGCTATAGTAACATATCCACCACTGTATAGTAAGCAGGTTTAAGTACTATCTAATGAGAGGGAAAAGAGAAGCAGGTGGAAGGTGTAGTCAGTGGGTAGAATGTAGACAAAAATAAAACCTTGCTGACCAATGTCTATTTCAAACATAAGTTGATTACAAAAACACGAAATAGGAAAATTGGTGATGAAAATCTCTTCAATATAAAGTAGAAATCAAAGAAAGGAGTAGTATCACACGAAGTGGTTTGGAAATTTATATTTGCAGGGTTTGACATTTTCAGACGAAAAATGTGCTAAAATTAGACAAAATGTACATGTGGGTTAAAACAGATATGAAGTTTAATTGAAGAAATTAAATACAATGCACATGTGAGTAAAAATAGATTCAAAGTATATTTGAGGAAATGAAATACAATGAACAGGTGAGTAACTGAAATACAATGTACAGGTGAGTAACTGAAATACAGTGTACAGGTGAGTAACTGAAATACAATGTACAGGTGAGGAAATTTGATACAGTGTACTATGCAAGGAAATTAGACAAAGTAGGATTTCCAGGTGAAACAGATTAATATTGAGAAAATTTGTTAAATGCATAGAAACTGATCAGTACAT